CGTGTGCGCCGGATTGGAACCGGCTGTCACAGCCCAGCCCAGCCCGTGCATGTCTGCACAGGAAATGTTTGATTACAGCTTCATTCATCTCCTCTGCTGCCGCTGGAAAAGGGGACGCTGTTCCTGTGGCTTTCTCAGCAGCTTGGGACCTTGTGCTGCCCAGATCCAAGCTTAATTCCTTTTTTTTTTTTTTTTTTTCCTTGGGGGAGCCCCACTGAAAGCAGTGCTCGTTGGAGAAGAGGAGGATGGCTCGCTGCTCGATCCAGGCACGCGGCAGCAATGACCTTGGCTAGGTAACCATCTCCTGAATACAAAGATGGATATAAAAGCAGCAATCCCCTTTTTAAAAAACACCCAGTTTTCTGCTAAGGTAGGGAAAGGCAGTGGTTTGTTAAATAAATGCGTCTGTCAGGGCTGGATTTCTTTCCCAGCTTCCCTAAATGCCCTTCACCAGCAGAGAGGGGGAGGGGACCTGCTCTTTGAAGCCTTTTCCTTATGGGAATAGAAAACACGGAAAGAATTCAATTCTCTGCCACAGCCCAGTCCTTCTGATCCGCACTTCAAACCCCAAACCCCAAAGCCCGGCGGGCCGGTGGGTGCCTGGAGCCTGCAGCAGCAGATTAGCCCTGTTCCACAGCCAGCATCATTAAGTGTCCCCCGTGGTGTTAGAGCCCAGAAAAAGGGGCAGGAATGGAGACCGGGGAAGGAAAAATTAGGAAATTCTGTGCAGAAAGAACTGCGGTTATCCAAATCTTTGATCAAAGCACCATCTAGTGAAGAACAGACTCCTTGCAGCTGGCAGCGCTCTGGGCAGCTGCACCAACATTTGCCTTTCACCACAAGTTTGCTGCTAAAAACCCCCGAAAATCACCTAAATATGCACAGCCCGTGCTGGACCTGAACGAACATGCCCCAAAAATTGCTGCCCTCTCCTCAAATCTGAGCAGGAACACGTTCCTGTGCTCCCCTCGTCTCCCACCAGAGAACCCCAGCCCCTGAATCCCGCAGGGAACGAACGAGGCACCGCAGGAAGAGAAGGATTTCCATGTTGTAGTTCGGGAGCTAAGGAAAAGAAAAGGTGAGTGAGCGGTCCAAGGTCGTGCAGGAAGCCAGAGGCAGATCCGGGAATAGAGATCAGCCACCCTGGGCCCAGGGATGCCTGAACAATAGCACAGCCTCTCCCTCTGCTGTCATTTAACTCCTTCCTGACCCACCAAAACCCACACAGGGGTGGGCTCTCCTCTCCCCTGTGCCTTCACAGCTCGTGGGGGCCCAGCCCTCAGCCTGTACCTGCTTTTCCCCCTCCAAACCAACAAGTAAAGGCAGTAGGGAAGGATAGGATTTGGTATCCTGAGAGCGGAGAAGCTGCAGGTAGGAAATGCTTCTGTACAGCTGGCCTGAGCTGTGCTCTCATCAATTAAAACAGCCACAATCAGCATCTGTTTGTGGAAATGGTGCCTCAGCTTGGCCATTTCTGTGTGTGACAAACAGCCCTCTTCCCCTGGAGCATTCAGCTCCATCCAAGTGGCTGTGGAGTGTGGGGATCTTCAGCTGCAGGAGGAGAGGGTGCTGCTGCCTCTGCCTCTTCCCCAGCTTCTGGGCTGTCTGCAAGGATTGGGGATTTGCAGCACGGTCACACATCAGAAATGCAGTTTCACTAAGTCCACACCGTCCTCACACTGAGCTTGGAAATGCTGCAGTGCAGGCTCAGGAGGAGACAGTAATTACAAACAAACCTTATAGAAAATAGCTGGGAAAGAAAAATAATACTCAGGTGGTGGAAAAAAACTGAACTGCAATGAACTGAACCTGCAGCAAAATTCTCCCAGAGACAAGAGCTGGGAGAAACAGTGACCAAGTACCCAGAAAGAGTTCTCTGAAAGAAGTTTGATGTCCTTGAGTCAGAGCCCAGTTCCAAACCAGAACTACAACTGAGGCAAAAGTTAAGACCATTTTCTTGGGTCACTGTCTGGAAGGGACACAGACAAATCTGCAAACAGCTGCAGGGGCAAAGAACTGGAAAAGCCCTGAGAAGCTCTTTATTTTTCTGTTTTCCATCCTAGGTCTGTTTTTTCCCCCTACCACCCTAGAATGTTTTCACTGACTCCAATTATGGGAGCAGGGAGGAGAGGATGAGAGTCTGCACCCTTGTATGAGAGGCAAGAAAATCTTTAATCCTGCCACAGCCCTTTGAACATTTCCATCTCCCAGCCACAGGCACTGTGAAACTGGGAGCTCTCACTTCAAACTAGTTCAAGGATGTTTTCCCTGGGGAAGGCTTTTGTTGCCCTGTGGGGATTTCTGCCCAGATCTTTGCTCTTAGGGTGAGCAACCAAAGCTTTTCTTACAGAAAGAAGCTGCATCTTACACTCCTTGAAAAAGAAGAAGTGACAAATAAGAGCCCACAGGAACTAGGGCACAAATTTCTGCCCTAGAGATGAGGGTTGAAAGGCTGCAGACCTGCACTCAGTGACTGCAGTAAAGCAGATGTCACCAAACTCAAATCCTTGAGTTTGGAGATTTTTTTTTCTTTTCTCCCCCTCAAGAAAGAGCTGCTCTGCAAGAGGGCAGCGACAGAGCAGCAGGATGTTTGTCAAGGAAGTGTTAACATGCTAAAAGGATCCCAGCCCTCTGCAGTTGTGGCCTGACAAAATGAGAGAGAAAAGAGATTTGAGTGCAAACAAAACCAACAAGCACAGATTTAGATTATGCCAACATTTACCAGTCGGGGCTTGCACAGTCTGCAGACCAGCCCTAGATTTGGGGGAGAGTCTTCACTGATGGTTCTGAGAACAAAGACATGTTGACATCAGTAAATCTTCTAATCCCAGTGCCTGGTGTGTCAATGAGCAGGTTTAAATCAGAGGTGAATTTCTTGCTAATTACATTAGATTAACCTGCCATGACATAAACTACCTGCTCTGGGTTGGATTTTTCAATTTAATATGTGTAAATAAAATTATTGATTCTTCCATTTCATTACATATTGTCCCTGAAGTCAAAAAAGTGCATTATCATCCTTCCTTTCAGACAGTAATTTTTAGGAAGATTTTGAATTATTTTCTCATCTTCTCCCTGAAATATTGATCCCTTACTAATGATGAATTGGCACTGAAGCTTAGAATTAATTTCAGTGTTTTCCCTATTAGAAGAGAGGACCAGAAAAAAGTTACCATAAAAATTGGTGATAAAACCACCTTTCAAAGAACTGCTGCAAAAAGCTGTCCTTTATCTCCCTGCTGTCCACAGGGAAAGACATCTGGGATTAACTTGGAAATGTTTAAATATCTCTGACTCCTCTGTAAATGTCCCTTCAGCTCTTAAAACCTTCACAACGAGCTGCAGGAACTCCCTGTGCCTTTCCTTCCCCAGGGCAAGGGCTCTGACACGTTTGGACTTTGGGCTTTTGGGATCACTGGGGCCACTTTGTGCCTCTTATCAGAGCCAGGGGATTTAAAGCTGCACAACCTGCAGCACATCCAGGCCCCGTTCCTGCACAGAAAATCAGAGAAATCATCAGAGAAATCATCAGAGAAATCATCCGAGAAATTGGAGAAATCTGGGGTGGGTTTTTCCCCATCACGGGTTTGAAAGAGGCTCTGCAGAAATGTCTCTTTTCTGCTACAGGAATTCACTGCTGTTCCTCACAGTCAGCCTTGCACAGCCCTGTCCTGTGCCAGTGTCACCCTCACAATGGGATTTTGGGGTGTCCTGTGCCAGTGTCACCCTCACAATGGGATTTTGGGGTGTCCTGTGCCAGTGTCACCCTCAGGTTCAGGGTGGGATTTTGGGGTGTCCTGTGCCAGTGTCACCCTCACAATGGGATTTTGGGGTGTCCTGTGCCAGGGTGACTGTGCCAGTGTCACCCTCAGGGGGAGATTTTTTGATTTTGGGGTGTCCTGTGCCAGTGTCACCCTCAGGTTCAGGGTGGGATTTTGGGGTGTCCTGGCCATGAGAAGAAACCTCCCCGTGCAGCGCCCGAGCTCTGAGCACAGAGGAGCCTCCGTCCCTCCCTCGCTGGCCATATTGCAGAGCAGTCCTGTGCCGTGCTGAGCAGGGGCTGAACGCGCCCCACAGTCCCTTCCAGCCCGGCCCCTCGGGGGTTTTGTGATTCTGGCGCTGAGCGAACGCCCACCGCGGGGAACCGCGAGAGCGCGGAACCCCTGGTTGGCGCCGCCGCTCCCCGGCCGGGCGGCACAGGCGGGAGGACAGCTGAGGGCAGATGCCCTCCTGTAGCCACTTCCGGTTGGCGTCAGGGGGAGCGGAGTGCGGGCGGAAGCGGCCGGGGCCCACTTCCGGCGGTGGCCATGGTGACGGCGGCGGGCAGGTGGGGACAGGAGGGGACAGGAGGGGACAGGGAGGGACAGCAGGGACACCCGGGAGGCCGCGGGCTCTGGGAAATGCGGGAGAGCTGGGGGCAAGGCGGCGCTGGGCGCCGGGACAGAGCTCACCGCCGGCACCGCCATTATAAATCGAATTAGCGATAAATCAGGGGCGCCGCCCGCCCTCACGGCGGCCCTTGGCTTGGTGAATGTCGGCAGAACGCCTTCTTCGGAGCCACAATGTCTCGGTTTTGCGAGCAGGCCGCCTGTGTCCGTGTCCCGCCCGGCAGCAGCAGTCCGTGTGGGATCAGCCTGTGCCCGGGCACGGAGACAACGAGAGCGGCTCCGAGCACCCCGGGCCGGCCCGGGGGAAGGACCTCGAACCCGCCCGGTTCCACCCCGGCCAACGCCCCCGCTGCCCGGCTGGATTCCCGGAGGTTCCACCTCAGGAATTCCGCCCGCCCAGGCGGGGTTTGGGTGCTGAACACGGAATTTTCGCCCTCTCGCTGCCGCGTGGGTTGGAGCGCTCGGGCGGGTGCTGAGATCCGGCAGAGGCTGGTGCCTGGCTGGCAGGTTCCTTTGGGAACTCCAGCTGTTCCAGCTGTTCTCCCGCTTGTCCCTGTTTGGGTGAGCAGCTCTGCGTTCCCCTGAGGAGCTTTCCCTGCTCTCGGAGCGTTGAGTTCGCTGCTCTTTTCCCAGTCTGGGCTTGCTCCGAGGCTGCCCTGCCCTGCAAAGGTCAGAGCTGCGCTCCCAGCGTTTGTTTTTAGGCTGGGCTGGCACCGGGCACGGCTGGGCTCGCTGCCAGCTCCGCTTTTAGCTCGGGGCTCTCCTGCTGCTGCAGGGGCAGCTCCAGCTCGGTCTCTGCAAGTCAGCCCTGTCTCAGGTAGGACCTTGTGCTTTCTTCACCCCCTCGAGCCTCCGGGGGCTGGGCTTTTATCCTTGGGAAAAACAGGGGGTTTTCCCCCTCCTTTTATCCCCCCAGACATTGGATTTGGGGTTGCAGCCTCCCAGCTGGTGCCACTAAAGGACAGTGTGATTCTGGGAGCCTGGAGCTGCACAGTTTTATTTATTATTTATTTATCATTTATTTATTATTTATGTATTATTTACTTATTATTTATTAATTAATTATACATAATTTATTAATTATTTATTGTTTATATTAATTTATTTATTTTAAAATATTTATTATATACTCATTATATACTTATTATATATTTATTAATTAATTATTCATTATTCATTATTTATGATTTATCTTAATTGATTTATTTTCATTTATATTCATTATGTATTATATATATATAATACATATACATATATATATATACACATATATATAATATATTTATTATATATTTATTTATTTATTATTTATTATTTTCAGTTTCACTCCCCCCTTGCTTGGGGAAGCTTCCAGGGGTTTGGCTCTTCAGGGTCTGGTCTCACCCTTGCAGCCTTGAGCTCACTCATGAATGTCCTTGTTCCTTCAGGAACCACTGTGCTGGCTGGTGTGGGAGAACACCCAGTTTTGTTTAAAGGGAGAGTTCTGGGTTTATTTTGAATTGGATAAATGTGATTTACTCTGTGGGAAGCCTTTGAAAAGCTTCCTCCCCCTGTGTTTGCTGGCACTGTCAGTGTTCCCCTTTCTGCCCTGCTAACCTGCAAGTTCCAGTGCTGCCCTTTGGGATGGGGAATTGGGAATGTCAGCTTTGCTTTGCAGTTAATGAGCAGAGGCTTCTCCAGGCTGCAGTAACCATCACTGACAGAACAGAGGGCTTTTCAGTGTGGATGCCCAAATTACTGAGCAGAGGTGACAGCAGCAGGAGGCTGAGCTGGGCTCCCACCCTCACCCCATTTCAGTGGCACATTTTCTGCCCTGGGGCACCTGCAGTGGTACCTGGAGTTGGGCTGTGAGAGGAGCAGATCAGAATCAAAGCAAAGCTTTTGCTGTAGGTCTGGAGTGCTGCAGAAGTTCCTCTGTCCCAAATGATCTGTTCAGCTGGGTTGTGCTCTCTCTCAAGTCTGACTGAAATGAGATTTTCTTTGTTTTGGGGCTTTTTTAAGAGGCCATTTGAGCACCTTGGAAGAAGGCACTGCTTCTGCATGCCGATATAATATGATATAATATGATATAATATAATATAATGCAATGTAATAGAAAATATAATATTTTTATTATCATCTTAATTATATTCTATTAATTCTATTGTATAATAGATAATATTATATATATTATAAAAGAAATATATTATTAATCATTATTATAATATGTATAGGGATTTCCATCTCTGACTGGCAACTCCTTCTCCTCTCCCTCCTCTTCCCCATGCCATATTTCCCTCCCCAGAGCTGTTACCTGTTGGCTCAGGCTGCAGCCTGCAAGCTGCCAGAGCAGGCTGTTGTTGTTGGTTTGCTGCAGCCCTCAGGCAGAGTTGGACACTCTGCCCAGTTCCTGTGTGTGACACGAGAAAAAGGAAATACAAGAAAAGATTAGAAATATTTTTCAGATCTGGGTGTGCTTTAGTTAGGGGAGGTGTCAGGAAAGGCCTCTCTTCTCTTCTCAGTTACCTTTTCCCCTGCATTCCACGGGATCCACAGCAGGATCCACACATTTTTCCAGTGCCCAAGAAGGCAGTGCCAGTGCACGTGTCAGCTCCCACTTGGGAAACAATGAAAGGGCCTGAGCGTGGGCTGAGGGGATTTTGGTTCCAGAATGTCCTGTAAGGCCAATGTCAGCACAGCACCTGTTGTCCCTGCCCACACTTTGTGCTGTGAATCTCAAGAGACCTTTGAGAGAACTAAAAAAGGGGAATCAGCCTTTTTTGGCAGCTGCTGAGCATGAACTGGAGAACCTTCAGTCTGGAGAAGTCTGAGAGAACCTTCTCACCCAGCCTGAAAATGCAGTGGCCTCGTGTCAGAACACCTCTGTCCCAGGAATTGTTTTAGGGCAGATCCATTCTCTTCTGTCACACGAGCTGTCCCAGTCCCTGGCTGCAGAGCAGTGCCAAACACACCCTGTGTGCCCTCCCTCAGCACAGGATGCTCTGCAGAGCTGAATCCTCCCTCTGGGTTTCTGCTCTCCCACTCTGTGCCCTTTCCCACTCCCTGAGCCCTGAGGAGCTGCTGCTCTGGTGTCTCCCTGCATTGTCCACATGGAATCCCACCAGGAAGGACCTGAGACCCACACGAGTCACTTTGGGAATGGGAAGCTCCAAAGGAGCCCAAGAAGAGTTGTGTTCTAACTTGGTGGCTTTGTTTTTAGACCTTGCCAGGTTTATGTAGAGCTGCCTTTATGTGTTATTTTATTGTGTTCCAGCTGTACCCCCAGAAATAGTTATTTTATTCAGTTCACTACTATTTCAGCAAGCTGTTCACTGAGCAGCTATTTGAGGAATTCTCTCCAAGCCCCTGATGGAAGAGCCTGACATTTTCCACATTAGCTCTGTTCCCTGGCATGCAGAGCCTCTGCCATCCCCTCAGTGACACTGAGTTCTGCCTCAGCATTGTAGTTACCTCTTGTTTTCTGCTTCTCATGCTGTCCTTTTGAAGGAGCACAAGTTGTGTCCCAGAATTTCCCAGTATCTTCCCAGTAAAGCCTGTCTTGCAGCTCAGACTGCAAGAGTTCAAACTCTGCCTGCATGAGAAAGGAGAAGGGAAGGGAAAATTCCCTGGTGTTTGGTTCTGACTTCATGTGTGACCCAGAAGATTTCAGGAATGGGTTGTAATTAACTTTACTCTTAGACCAAGCTTTGATAAAAGCTCAGGGATATACAGAGGGAAAATCAGTGGCCCTTTCACAGGAGTCCTACTTGCTCTTTGGCCCTTAGTAAGCTGTCACATAAACTACTCCCTTGAAGGAATGGCTTAGCAAGGAGATTAGGGCTATGCCTTGGTATCAGAATCCCATTCCAGGATGAGATTTCAGTGTGTTAAGCAAATTACTGGCTCAGAGAGAAAACCTGGAGCCTCCAAAAGACAGACTGGCTTGTATCCATCTGGGATAACACAGAGTACCTGATCTCTGGCTTGGAGATATTCTGGTACTGGCTGTTCTAGAGAAGTCTGAACAGTTTTATACAATCAGAAAAATGTGGAGAAATATCCCAGCCCTGAGGAACTTCATCACAAGAGGGTGAATTTAGGGCAAAACATGGGAACAGCATCCCTGAACCCGAGTTTGTGACATGACAGCTGACAGGATGCAATGCCAAGTGTCCTGCTGGGATGTTCACATTACTATTTCAGTGCTTAAAACTGGGTACTGATGTGAACTTTCCAAAACCTAAATGAAGGGATGAGAAAATCTGCTGAAGCTACAGAGGCACCTTGGTGGATTATTGGTGGTCTAAGACAGGGTTAAAAAAATAATTTCAAAGTAGTTTTCAGGCCTTTGCTCACTTTCCTCATGGTGAAATGACCTCTTTCCTTTCCTCCTGTGGCTGCAGGAAGCCAGCTCAGCAAGGAAAGCTGATGGATTTCACAAGCACTGTCATCGTCCCGCTGCTCTTCGGCAGCCTGGGCATCTTCGCGCTCTTCCGGCTGCTGCAGTGGATGCGCACGCGAGCCTACCTGCAGGACGCTGTGGTGCTGATCACAGGGGCCACCTCTGGCCTGGGGAAAGGTATGGACCCAAGCAGGGCCCCAGGGGCAGCACAGGCAGGGGGCTGTGGCAGGAGCAGCTCGTGGAATAGAGCAGGAACGAGCTGGAAGTTCCTGTTGAGTGAGTTTTGAGAGACGCGGCTCCCACCTGAATTGTAACCACAACCAGTGTAGATTTGGGTGCAAGGAAGTCTCAGCATTTGGTACAAAAAAATTAAATCACCTTGTGTAAACTGGAGCTCATCAAAGCAAGGAATTAGATGCTGTTCTTGTGCTGTCAGGGGTCTTTTCCCTAAATCCTGAAAAAGCCAGGAAACCAAATTGATTCTTTAAAACCTCCCAGAAGTGGTGTTCTGCCTTCATGTACTTCCAGCTGCTCTGCCAAACTTTCCACTCCTCCTTTTCCCTCACTCTCAACTTAAGGTACCTTTCATGGTACAAATCCATCCACTCTAAAGTCAAGCTCTTGGCATTATTAACACCAGGGAGTATTTTTTTCCAAATGGAACTTAGGTTTTGCTTCAGTGGCTACATTCCCTAATTCTGCTTTCTGTAATTGCTTTAAAAGCTGCCTGAAGAGAAGACAAGGTGCTCTCTGCTATCAAGGCCTTTCATTAGGATGAGTACATTTATAGAACAAATAGAGCTTTAATTGATGCTGCTTTTGCATGTGAGTTTGTCCCTAAGGACTGGGGTGTTCAGGGACTGGCCAAAGGAGATGAACTGGTTCTCTCTGCCTGCCTCAACCAAAGAGTGGGAGTGGTAAAGGATCTTGTACTTCTCATCAAGAAGAGAGGAAATTAGTATTCCAGGAGAGACCTTCCAGCTGGAGCTCTGTCTGTGCTGTGGGCTGTAGAGACTTCCACCACTGTACTGTAAAGTTTCCTCTCTTTTTGACTCATTTGCGACATCTTCTACAACTCCCCCTACTTGCAGTTATTAATACACCAGACCACCTCTAATTACTGTGTGTTCATTGCCATCCACTGTCATCCCTGTGCAAACTAGCAGTTTGTCCCTCTGGCTCCCAGAAGGGACAGGAACATGGAATTAAGAGGACAACAGCCTGGCATCTCTTCTCCAGGCTTTTCCCAGTGAAGAATGCCACCTTGATGAAGGCATTAAACCCCAGGCTCCCTGAACCTCTGGAGGTGTTCATTAAAACTGAAACTCCTAAGACCTGTGTTAGATGACACACACAGAGTAACTGTGGTTAAGAAAGGCATAAAGTCAAAAATGAAGAGGCAAATGTGACCAGCTGAGGGGGAGGATGTGTGAACAGCACAGCAAGTGTCTAACCAGCACTAATCTGTGAGCACAGCAGCTGCTCATGTGTCTGTCACAGTCCCAGGAGAGTGGGACGTGGCTGTGACCTCTCTGTCAGTCAGCCTGGCCACACACAGCAGCAGCCAGCAGCACTGGGAGCTGTCACTGATGTGGAGCTGTCCTTGGGCTGGCACTCATGTCCCTGCTTTTCTCTCTTCCTTGCTTCTCCACAGAATGTGCCAAAGCTTTCCATGCAGCGGGCTCCAGGCTGGTGCTGTGTGGCAGGGACAGTGAGAAGCTGAAGGAGCTGGTGCAGGAGCTCTGTGCCGTGAAGAATCACCGCAAGAACGTGAGTGTGGGACAGCACACGCCAGGAGCCCGGGCTCACGAGGCCTGGGTTTCTGCTGGGGCTCTCACAGGAGTTGCAGAATTGCCTGTGGGTTGTTGTCTTGAGCAATAGGAAAAACGCAACTCTGTGGTAAGGGATGGATGCTGATACAGGAGTGCATTCAGCTGGCATGTGATTCCTTGTCAAAACCCCACAGAAGAAGCCAAGAAGCCATCTTGGCTAGAAATGAAAGTGAAAGCACACAAGGGCAGAGTGTCCAGACCCCTTACACCTGCACCTCATTCACTGAATCTGGAAAAGTGACTTTATTTCTGCTTTTTTTATGTCTGTGCCTGCTGACTGTGGCTAAGAAAGATACTGCTGGCTTCTGCAGAAAACACATGGGTTAGGTTTTGCCTTTTTCACATGCATTTCCTTTAAGACAACAGGAAACTTTAGTAGTTGAGGAACATCTCCCTTGTCCCTTTCCCAGGCTCAGGGATAAGGAACAGGCTACAGGAGCAGAGAAAGATGAGCACAACCTGTTTCTGCCATGAATTCCTGCCACATGGAGCAGGGTCTGCATGGCCCTGCTCCTGTGCCTCCAGAGCTGGGGGATGCCACCATGAGCTGGCACACCCAGCACTGAACTGTATTTTGCTAACTTGAGTTTATTCACAGACACACGAGCCTCACACCGTGGTGTTTGACCTCTCAGACACCAAGGCTGTGGTGAATGCTGCTGAGGAGATCCTGAAGGCCTCGGGTCATGTGGACATCCTGATCAACAACGCTGGCATCAGCTACCGAGGCACAATCGTGGACACAGGACTGCATGTGGATAAGAAAGTGATGGAAACAAATTACTTTGGGCCTATAGCCCTCACCAAAGGTACCTGTGGTCCACAGGATGTGGCTGATGCCTCTGCAGACCAGCACAGCCTCACTTGTGTTTGTCACTGTACCTGGTACAGCACAGGCTGAAGGGAGGTTTGGGGTTCTGGGCAGGCCTGAGGGCATGACTCTGTGGGAAATACCCCAGTGGAGATGATCCCTGTTTCCATCTCCTGACTCCAGCCTGGCAGGGGCTTGGGAAGAGGTCCAGTTATCCTGTCAGCACTGACAGAACACTGGAGGACATGGTGGGGGTTGCAGTGGAGCTGCAGCTCTCCTGGGAAGCTTTGGTCACACAGAAAGCTCAGCCCAGAGCGTGTCAGCTGCAGGAAATGGGAAGATGTTCTGGTGGCAGGAAAAGCAAATCCTGCTGCCCGCTGTGTGGAGATCAGAGCCACCACAGCAGCCCTTGTGCAGCCTCTGGCACAAGGAGTCTCCTCACAGGTGACCCTCCCAGGCAGAGACAGCTTCAGTCAGGGGCATCCCAAGCACTGTCCCCACCCCTGCACTGAAGAGGGATCTTGTAATTCCCTTCAGCATCTCTGAGTGCTCTGAAAGCTTTGATTCTTGACAGCAGCAATGGCAGGACTCTTGTCTGAATGGGTCTTTTCTGTCTTTGCTAGCACTTCTCCCCTCCATGATCAAGAGGAGACAAGGCCACATTGTGGCCATCAGCAGCGTGCAAGGCAAAATAAGCATTCCTTTCAGATCTGCATGTAAGTACCTCCACAGAAGATGGGAAAGACATATTTGGGGCACCAGGCTGAATAAATACTTGGCTCCTGCTTCCACATTTAGCTCTCCATGGAACTGGCTGTGTGCAGGGAAGGCAGAGCTGTGCATCACCCTCAATGGGGTCACAAACCACTGACAGCAACTCTTAAATACAAAATATTAGCTTTGTCCTAAAGTTTTTAAGGGATGGAGAATATGTTTTGAAAACAGCTTGATTGTCCTGTCTTGAGAGTCACTACAATTCCATAATTTAATGGTATTTTATCCTTGTCATTTGTCTGCATTATCTCCTCTAAGAAAGCAGGAATTTTTGATTTTAATAAATTATGAAGTGCTATAGTACAAACAGTGCCAGAACAAAATCCTAAACAATCTTGATCCGGCAAACTCTTCATGCTAAATCTGTTATGACAAGGAATATTGGTGGGATTACTGAAAAAAAAAGCCCTTTAAAAGATGGATGAACTAAGATGAGAGCATTTGATACACAAGCCTCTGTAAATCACTGAAAGTGAACACCACAAGTAGAGTGGTGATGGCATACAGTGAGCCAGGAGTGATGCTGAGTGGGGGAGAGCCTGGAATGTCTGAGCCATGGGGTTTTGCAGGTGATGTGGGTCCAATTGCTGCAGGAGAAGTGTTCTGAGGAGCTCCCAGGGTGCTTGCACAGGGACCAGAGGCACGTGGATGTGGCAGCAGGAGCTCAGCCCTTGCCTGGGTCCCTGCAGGGTGTGCAGCCTGTGCTGAGCTGCCTCTGGTGCTGCTGGTGTGCTGGTGGCAGCCACAGGCAGTGACCAAAAAGAAGGAGTCACTCAGCCATTTAAGGGGGAAAATCCTGCCCTAGGCCACGCTTCCCTGCTGTGCTGCCTGTGTGATCTGGTGTTCCCTTTGTGCAGCCAAGCCCTGAACCTGCCCTGCAAGTCCCCAGTGCTCAGGGCAGCCAGCTCTGCCTTCCAAAGGCTTTGGGGCTCCTTTATCAGGAGTGGGAGGCAGCTTGGGTTCACTCTGCAGTGCTGTGATACTAAGCTCAGGATCCCAGCCAGTTTTGAACTTGAGTTTACATTTTGTCTTCCTAAATTGCCTCTGACTCCCACTGCCTGTTGCTGGCATTCACTAAACAAAAACAATCGTAGAGGCTGGAGAGCAGCTCTTGCTGAGGAGTGGCTGCATTGCAGTGAAAAATCCATTCAGAAAGTGACAATCCCTTCAGCCCTGCTCCCCTCCCTGGTGCACAGTCCTTTTCCTTTTTCCAGATGCTGCCTCTAAGCACGCTACCCAGGCCTTCTTTGACTGTCTGCGAGCAGAGGTGGAGCAGTATGACATTGAAGTGACAGTGGTGAGCCCGGGCTACATCCAGACAAACCTGTCCCTGAACGCTGTCACAGCGGATGGATCCCGCTATGGAGGTGAGGTAGCACTCAGTGCCCCTCCTGGAGCATCTCCCTGTTCTCATGGTGTTTCTGCAACACTCAGTGCCCTTCCTGGAGCATCTCCATGTTCTCATGGTGTGTCTGCAACACTCAGTGCCCTTTGTAGAGCATCTCCATGTTCTCATGGTGTGTCTGCAACACTCAGTGCCCTTCCTGGAGCATCTCCATGTTCTCATGGTGTGTCTGCTACACTCAGTGCCCTTCCTGGAGCATCTCCATGTTCTCATGGTGTGTCTGCAACACTCAGTGCCCTTTGTAGAGCATCTCCATGTTCTCATGGTGTGTCTGCAACACTCACTGCCCTTCCTGGAGCATCTCCATGTTCTCATGGTGTGTTTGCAACACATGGCCTCTGGTGGGGACAGAGGTTTGATCCCTGAAGGATCAAAAACCAACTTTGGATGCACGGTAGGAGCAGCAAGCCCCAAAATTCAGCCTTTCCAGACAGCAACTGTTGCCTTCAGGGCCAGCCACGAGGAACACTGCCTGTGCTGCCATACACAGCTGAGTGAAAACCAGAGCAAGCAGCCATGTGCAGTTAGAGCATTGCTAGGAAAGGTGGGGTGGGGTTTACCTGCTGCTGGTGGTGCTCACTCAGCTTTCCCTTGGCAGTTATGGACAAGACCACGGCCGAGGGACAGACGGCGGCCGAGGTGGCTCAGGTGGTTCTCAGTGCTGTGGGACAGAAGAAGAAGGAAGTGCTTGTGGCTGGCCTGACCCCCTGCCTGGCTGTCTACCTGAGGAACCTCTGCCCCAGGCTTTTCTTCACCTTAATGGCATCTAGAGCAAAAAAGGAGAGAAAAGTAAAGGGCTCTTAGAACTCAGCTGCCCTGAGCAGGGAGAGGCTGAGCCCCTGCAGTCGGCTGGGACATCACTGGAGGTGCTCCTGCAGGAAAATCCTTTCTCAAAATGCTGTTTACCATTGCATGGAGACTGGGAAGTGGTTTCCCCCACACTGCTGGAAGACAGCACCTAAACCTCAGCTGGAGACGGAATGGTGCTTGGACAGTGGGGGAGAGCTGAGGTGCAGGGGAGGGATCAGGGGAACACTGCAGCCGGGGAGGCCCTGGCTGGGAGACTCCTCACCTCACTGCAGGCACGCTCAGCTTTACTGCCTGCCACAAATAAAACCCACCTGTTCTGCCTTCACACCAGCAGAGCTTGGCTGTCCCCACCCCTGTGAAATACAGTCCTCAGCTGGGAGCTCTCGTGATCAGTGTCTCATTCCCACTCCTTCCAGTCTGATCCAGGACATGCTGCTTGCAGTGGGAAACTTCACAGCCTCTTCCTGTTAACGTGCCAAGTCATCTGATAAATTAAGCTCAGTCCAGTGCCACTTTAAAAGAAGTAACTGATGTACAATTTGGGTGTATTTGGCATCATTTTACCTGTCTGAATCATGCCCTACTGATGTACTGGGACAGTCAATTCTGCAGTGAGAGCGCTCTGTGAACCCCAGCCCAAGGAATGCAGGGAAGCTCTGAACAGGCAGAGCAGCACAGCAGGGCAGCTGCTGCCAGGACACACTGCACAGGTGACAGCAGCACACCTGGGCCACCTGCAGCTCAGAGCAGGTGTGGTCGTGTGGGTGCCAGGCACTCTCTGGCACTAGAGAAGAATCCATGTGTGTGAAGTGCAGAGTGTAGCAGACAGACCCTTTGTTCTCATCTGCTGTAAAGCAATCACAGATGCTAATTAGGATCACATCCAGTGGGGAATGATACCTGCCTGTTCAGGTATCACTTCAGGGAGCCTGACAGCCTGAAGGGGTGCTGTGTTCCATTCCTTACCCCCTTCTCATGTGAGGGACACCAGCACCACTAGGAAAAAGGAAGTGCTGCACAGAGATAGGACAGAAATAATCTTAAAATTGAAATAAACTCTACTAATAGGAACCAAGGTTCAGACCCCTCCTGCCACCTCCATGCACAGCATTTTCCATGTGTCCTGAGTGTAGCAGACAGACCCTTTGTTCTCATCTGCTGTAAAGCAATCACAGATGCTAATTAGGATCACATCCAGTGGGGAATGATACCTGCCTGTTCAGGTATCACTTCAGGGAGCCTGACAGCCTGAAGGGGTGCTGTGTTCCATTCCTTACCCCCTTCTCATGTGAGGGACACCAGCACCACTAGGAAAAAGGAAGTGCTGCACAGAGATAGGACAGAAATAATCTTAAAATTGAAATAAACTCTATTAATAGGAACCAAGGTTCAGATCCCTCCTGCCACCTCCATGCACTTGCCAGAATTTTCCATGTGTCCTGCCTCACATGTCCGGCCTGGGAGTGCACATCTGATCACAAATAAATTACATTGCTATGAAATTAATCCCTTGGTCTACTTCAGCTCCTCACAGCATGTAACATAAGAGGAAGGGAACACATGAGGGTTTTGTTTTTCCTTACATCCCTGCAAGGTGCTGTTGTACCAGTAGCAGCTGCAGAACATGCTTTATCCCAGCCCTCTTTATGGGCCCTGTTAGCTTACACAGTGTGAATCCACACAGAGAGTCAGCCACACAAACTCTGCTGTGGGTGTGCAGGCTCAGCAGGACCTTCTGCTTCCAAAAGCCTCTTCTTAACCATTACAGATCTATAAATGATCTCTGAGATCCAGGACGTGTTTAATGATGACAGTGCTGCTGCTCTGTCAGGACATCCACCCTCAGCCACCTTCCCTGTGGCTGAGGCTGCAGCTGCCACAGAAAGTTCTGGGGTTGGACTGACAAGGTGAAGCTTTCAGGTGTGCAGACACCTTTCTTCCTGTTAAGACAGGAGAGCAAGGCATTACCTTCTCTGGCTCTGCACAAGGGCAGTGCTGGTGTTAGTTGTGCTTTTCCTTTGTGTTTCCCATGCTCAGCTCCTCAGTTTCTTGGTGACATGCAGTGCTCCTGCCAGGCTTGTTCAGCTGCTCCATGTTCTGGTGTTTCAGGTCGTGGCTACCCAGGAAGGACCAAGGGGCTGCTTTGCATTTCTGTGTTCCCATCCAGAGCACTGAGGGTGAAACACATCAGGCCTGAGGGAAAAATGATGTGTGGGGAGTTCCTGTGGGAGCTGCAGCTCCAGGGCAGAGGTTGCTGAGAGTGCACCCATTCCCTTTGGAGGTAAATTCCCTCTCTGTGACCAGGGGGGCAGCAGAGTGTGGGGGATTCTGAAGGGAGGTTTGTCCCCAGCCACTGTTGATTCCAGAGCTACTGGCACTGGGGACAGCAGATACAGCACCATTCCACACAGATGAGAACTTCTGGAAGTTGTTTTACCATTTCACTGTGCACTAGAACACCTCTCAAGGCCCCTCTCATTCTCCCAGGTCCCCTTGCACATTTACAGCCCTGACTAACAACCAGAATGTTAAAAAGCATTTTAGCTGTGTTATCACTGAGATTCCTTGGAAACAAGCCCCTCTGCCCCTCCACCTGAGAATGGAGTAACAGCTGTTTTCCAATCAGACCTACGCATTGTGACAGCTAAGCTGACTTTTCACCTTTCCTCCTGCAATAAGAGACCCCAGGAAAGTTGCTAATTTTTAACTCAAGCCTCTGATGCCAGCCCTGCATTTAGGGAACCTGCCACAGTGATCATTCCAGTCCAGGGGAAGCTTAACACAAAAAGGTACCAGGACCCCAGAGGTTTGGTGCAGGAAAGGAACTAACAACTCTGAGAATTATCCTGCATTGAGTGAAAAAAGACCAGGAACAGCTTTGGTGTGGCCAGCACAAAGGTATTTCAGGGCCTTCTGCAGCAATAAGCAGTAGCAGCTGTGGCAGATGTGCCACTGGCTCCAAATCCATCCAGCAGGGACTCTGGAAACACGTCAGGGTGGAAGGGCAGCCTGCCCAAACCACTGAGAGATGAAGTAGTTGCATTTCTTTGCCTCCTCTCTGCCAAGGCAACTGTACATTGTTGCTATAAATAGAGTTCTGGATCCCAGCTTCTTTTAACCTTGGAGGGAGAGAGCTCAGCCACTGTACAAGGGGCTGCTGCCACCCAGAAATGTCTCAGTGCCACTGGAGCTGCCCCAGCCCACTCAGGTACAGCTGCCTGTGCTGGTGCTCAGGGCTGTGACCCAGCAAAGCCAGTTTGCCCAGCACACACAGAATGGGCTGCGTGTCCTGCTCACAGAAAAACTGCCCCAGCAGAAGCACAACTCAGAACCGTGGTCAGAACAGCCCGTGGTGGTGAGAACAGGGGAGTCCTTGGTGCCTGCTGTGGTGATTTGGAGAGATAAAGGCAGAATTTGGGGTGTGACCCCTGTCAAGGTCAGTGTTTCAGCTGTGAAGGTCAGGCTGCAGCTCCCACTGGAGCAGGGAGCACACGGTGCACGGGCAGCTCTCACTGCAGGCCTTTGCTCTCCTATTCCAAATGTAACAGCTGGAGCTGTGCCAGGCTGGCCCTGCCAATGCCAGCCACACCTATTCCCCATGTGGTGGGAGGAGATTACAGACAGCAAGCCCCTATCTTTTAAAAATAACTGGCAGATGTCACAGAACAGTAAATGCTTCCCACTCTAAGAACAAGATTTTGAGTTTAGAGCTAAAAAATGGATTAATGCACAGGACTGAATTCTAAAATTTCAGGTAACACAGCTACAGGGTGCACTCACGTGGATGCCTTGCAGCAGGAGCAAGCAGCTCCTGTGTTCCAGGTAAAAGCAGTGGAATTGTGTGGTCAGGGCACAGCACAAAGGTAGGACAGGTGAACTCCCACCTTGGCAGCCCCCAGCCCTGCATGTGGCTCAAGGCATTTCAGAGATGTATCCACCTTAGGAAGAACTCTACAAGAACTGAGCAGAATGTGTTTGTACCTGGACACTTAAAGTGATATCACTTTGATAACAGTGACAAGAGAGCGAGAGCATTTGAAATTCTCATCCTTTAATGGTCAATGATAACTTCTGGCTGGTTCTGTGTAATACAATTAAACAATATACTTAAATGTTTCCCAAAAAAAAAGGAAAAAAAAGGAAAAAAAAAAAAGAAAGCAGCTCTCACACCCCTTCTTTCTATTGCTTTCTTTCACTGACATTCTGCTGCTGGATTGGACTCCCCTGGCCTAACATACGGATCTCAAGTCACCACACATCCACATCTCAAGTGTAACAAAGAGCTGAAAAACCTTGGTGCACCAGTGATGTGTTATTTGAAAAATAACAGCTCTATCAAACCAAATCCTTCCCAGTCTCCACCGCTTCTCAAAGAGGAAAAACAAAATGTTACTGTGGGAGTCTTAATACACTTGTCTTTGTGGGTTTCTCTCTTCCCTGCTGAAGTCATACAGCATAGAGTTCATAGATCTTCTTTACACAGTACACCAGGGCAGCGAGTGCTATTGTGTTGTGCAGTCTCTTTCTGTGCAGGTCGTCCTTCCTCACCAGCACCACGGGAGTGGACGAGGTGAGCGTATGCAGGGGCAGGCGCGAAAGTTTATAGGCATCGTACTCCACCTGGTACTTGCAGCAGGGATCAAACTGCCAGGAGATCCCGTAGAGGGTGCAGCAAGCCACGCTCAGCACTCCGGCGGGCAGGGAGATGTAGTGAGAATAATCTACTGGCAGTGCCAGGGGGGTGAAGAGGCAGGTGGTGCCCGCCAGCACGGCCGTCTTGTGCAGGCAGTTCCCCACGGTGATCCAGCGCGCCGTCTCGTCCCCGATGCGCGTGGGCTCGATCACGATGTACTTGTACTGCGCCTCCAGAGCCTGCTCCAGCTCGTACTCAAACTGGTCCTGGGCGTTCTCCCCGTTGTAGATCTCGTGCACAATGTAACAGTCCGTGGAGGACAAGGTCACCCTGGTGAGGGGAAATGGAGAATTAAAACGACGGGGCTGAAGGACGGGCTGTTCACCCGCCCGGATGGGAGAGCAGCACAGAAGTGCCCCGAGTGAGGGCAGCCCCTCAAGGTCACTGCCTCGGTTTCACAACCAGCAGCTTCTCAACTCAAGCTCCATTGCACATCAGCTGATTATTCCTGCTGTACAGCAATTCATCCCAAAAGAAGGCAACATATTTTTCTTACCTTTTCCTAATCTGGAGGATCTAGAACAATTTGAGAAACAGGGTCTTGTAAAAATCCTGAAATAATTTCTCACACTGATACCCAAGCAGAAGTGTCACTGACACTTAGTGACACAACACATCACTGAACAAACCCCACAGACTTCAGGAGCTTTCACAGCAACCAAGACAAGCAGCTCAGTGATCAGGAGGACAAGCTGCTCTGGAAGCATCTCCAGATGAATACATTTGCTTTCTGATGCAGCTCGCTATTCAGTCCTCCTAACACAGCCTAGTAAATCCATGGTAAATCCAACAAGGATGGCCAAGGAACACTGCTGAAAGGGAAGGTGAAGAGGCAGCAGAGTGT